TGCATTGAGATCTGATGATTCCGTACGATTTTCCATCAGCTACGACTCTTACCGGATTCCACTTTGCTTTGACGGCATTGGTCGGTCTTGTCTCCAACGCTACGGGATTCTCCGCATCCAAACATGTCCCTATGTGGGAGATTATTTGGTTCTCAATTGTCGCCAATGTCTCCATTGCAGCCATGAATTTCAGTCTCATGCTCAATTCCGTCGGCTTCTACCAGGTTAGAACAACCAAATTCGCGTGATGTGTAGTTTCTGGATTATTGGATTCGCATCACGACATTTAGAAGAACCAATTTGGGTGATGTTTTGTGATCTCTTGTTTATGAATGGGTTCTCTGTTTTGGTAGATCTCGAAGCTGAGCATGATTCCTGTGGTCTGTGTCATGGAATGGATTCTTAATAGCAAAAGATACTCAAAAGAAGTGAAAGCATCTGTTGTGGTTGTTGTTTTAGGTGTTGGTATTTGCACTGTTACTGATGTCAAGGTTAATGCCAAAGGTTTCATTTGCGCATGTGTCGCAATTTTCTCCTCGTCTTTGCAACAAATTGTAAGTTTTTGAAGCTTGGAATCTGATCTATTCGGTTAAATAGTTGATATGTTTTTTCTTTGGTGCCAGTTGATAGGTTCATTGCAAAAGAAATATTCAATTGGTTCTTTTGAGTTGCTGAGTAAAACAGCACCGATTCAAGCTCTTTCGCTACTCGTTGTTGGTCCTTTGGTTGACTATCTCCTCAGTGGAAAGTTCATTATGAAATACAGTATGTCTTCCGGTTGCTTTGTAAGCATCTCTCTCTCCTTAGCTATGCAATGATTATATGCGTATCGTCTTTTGTTATCTTTGTCTAATAGTCTAGGATTTTTGCAGCTATTCATCCTTCTCTCATGTGCTCTAGCTGTGTTCTGCAACATAAGCCAGTACCTTTGCATCGGGCGATTTTCAGCAGTATCGTTCCAGGTTATAGGTCACATGAAAACCGTGTGCATCCTCACACTCGGATGGCTCTTATTCGATTCTGCAATGACTTTCAAAAACGTGGCGGGCATGATTGTTGCCATTGTTGGGATGGTGATCTATAGTTGGGCCATGGAATTGGAGAAACAGTCTAATATTGCAGCAAAGGCTTTGAACAGTGTGAAACACAGCTTGACAGAAGAAGAGTTTGAACTTTTGAAGGAAGATGTAGAAAATACACAGTTGAAAGATGTTGAACTTGCCCACACAAAAGCTTAGACAGATGGATCATAGAAGATAGTCTTCAGGTACAATTTGTTCTGTTATAATTTGTATGTTTTGTGTTATTTTAAAAACCAAGGAGGTGGTGGCCGAGTAGCGGGGTGTGTAGTGATGAGGATTCCTCATGTGAGTCTAATATCCGCAGGGATCTGGTTCATGAATCCTCCCATCTACGGATCCTCGGAGATTATTCTTTGTCTTCGGCTTAGGGTTCTTTGGTTATAAAAATGTTGTGTTATTTATATATCTGCCCAATTCCATGGAAATGTTTTCAATTATTTCTTCTTACTATCCAGAGCACTCAAAGACTATGTGACAGCAGTTTTCCATTCTCACACATATTTGGTCTATTCCTCTAAACTTAGTCCAAAACTTAGGTCTAAAACGTCAATAAAAGGCTTAAGTGGAAAGGTCGAACTTGGTCATCCGACTTGACCGCGATCGGGTTCAACCCAAAATGGACAATGGAGACGAAGAACATTCGTTCTGAGTGGGAGGGTGAGACTGTTCGGTCCAACTGGAGGTTTCTCGGATTCCTTCTTGTTTGTTACGGATGATCGGTCGGTAGATGAGTCTTTCCGGACCGTATCCCCCTAGGCATCACAGACCATCTTCTGCTTCTCGAGTGAATGATCGCTACCAGTAAATGTACAGTCCATTCGGTTTCTACTGTGTCCCACGGCCATAATCAAACTAAAAGAACACAAAAAAAAAACTTAGAACGTTTAAAATGCATCAAGACACATTTAGTGCAATCACATGAGAAACACACATAAAATTATTGAAACATTCAAGATCAAAATGGTAAAAACTGAGAATGTCCTCAACCGGATGTGACATCTTAAAAACTAAACCCAAAATTCACAAAACCTAAATTTATAACACCTAAACTCTTCAAAATGTAGGTTTAGTGAATTTTGAGTTTAGATTAAACTTCACAA